TACGGTGGAAATTATCAGACTAACCGTTCGGCTCTAGTCCGTTCAGTTCAGATTCCTTACTATTTGCCCACGAAGAAATATCATAGTAACAATAAACAAAAATAACTCAAATTGTCATGCTCTTCGGAAAAACCAGAAATTCTTCAAGGAGACTTTTGTCCTGATAGTCTGTGTGGGTCGTGCGCAATTCATTTAAATAATTTTCCAAATGATAAATAAATCATTGCACTTAGCTATGTCGCTAATTCGTTACCACAATGTTACTATCTAAATACTACACAAATCCTTGTTAAAATAAATTGATATTTGAATCGCACATGCCAGAATATTATTATTTTGTTTGTACAATTTCAGCCAAACACGCTAGGCTGATGGTGTTGACTAGTCAAGACCTCCGTAGTTATGACCTAGATCTAGATACTTTAGAATACAAAACACTTCTGAACACAGCTTTTGGTGGAGCTGTTGTTCTTGGCTTTGACTACAGAGATAGCTCTATCTATTGGACTGATGCTCTATCTCAGAACATTTTTATGTGAGTTAGACTTTAATGCAATATATATTTTGTCAAAGTTTTACAATTGTACCTATGGCTCTAGCTAATGAAAATATTGATAGCATTTTAAAACATATTTTGTCTGGCTCGGTCTTTTACTATTTTGTTGTTAATTCAACACAAACTGTAAAACATATTACAGGACTAATCTTCACACTGGAAAATATAAAAAAAACCATATATTGAAGCTGGTATCGCTGTTGACTGGGTGCATCGTTATCTTTATTACTATGACACTGGATACAACAAGATCGAAGTATCGCGCCTAGATGGCAGCCATCGTAAGACACTCATCAGTGATGATCTGGATGAATCAAGGGCATTGTATGTAGTCCCTGAAAATGTGTACGTTCAGTGGCGGAACTAGAAAAAATGGGCCACCCCGCAAAAAATTGTTTTTGGGCCCCCCATATATGTATATATATATATATATATATATATATATATATATATATATATATATATATATATATATATATATATATAATCTGTATCTAAACAGAGTAATTTAGTCTACTTCATTGCAATATATAACCATTCTGAGAGAACAAACTAGACACATTTATATCTATTCTGTCTACTTTCATTTTTAACTGGTCAAAAATATATAAAGACGTAAGCTTAATTCGTGAATGGTTTCTCGCGTTATGTTTATTTTTTTCATTTTTGGCTATTATAATATCAATTTTGAAAACATTGATTTTTATATCTATACCATTGTTTAGTACGTCTTATTTAAATAACAATTCAGAGAATCAATTGCTTTTTACTATACATAGTACAAAACTATGTAAATGAGATTCGTGGGCATCCCTATTTTAAAGAAGGGCAGTAAGTCATGGAAGTTGTGTGAATGTTTGCCTACCTTTCAGACTATAGCCCTTGGAGATTTTAAAATATTTTTCTACGCAACAATCTCTGCTATTGTAGACGTTTTTTTTTTTTTTTTTTTTTTTTTTTTTTTTTTTTTTTTTTTTACAAAACCACTTTAAGTTGCATGGAAAACATAATTTTTGAAAAAAAAAATTCATTGTTTTTTGGTCGGAAATGCCCCCCCCCCCCGCACTGCGGGGTCTGGCGGTATGGTAGTTCCGCCCCTGTGTACGTTCGATAATAATTTGTTTAAGAATACTGTAGTATGATATTGTCTAAAAATCAATTTGTTTCTCAACAATAAAATCTTATTAATTTTGTCTTCTAGTTGGATCTACTGGACAGACTTGGGCGAAACAACTAAGACTGAATGGACAATAGAGGAAGGCTATTGAAACTCAACATGTTGTATGGCCAAATGGACTCACGATTGGTGTGTACTTAAGAATGTATGTGTAGATCTATGTTAAGGCGAAATAAACTTTTTTTTAGATTTAAGATTCTAATTTATTTTATAGAGCCAAATATGAAACTCACTTTTTAAAAATTTAGCCTTTTTATCTTTTTTTTACAAGCTTAAACCTTAACAAATAATTCAGCATTAGCAACTAACCAAGTGAAAATGATAATATATTAAATTTTAGATTACGTTCATTGACTATATTACATTTTTAATTAAATGTTTTCTTAGTATTTATGTGTTTTGTTTAATTTCTTTACGTTTTGTAAATACGTTTCTCTGTGTGTATGCAATTTGAAAAAAATGCCAAATAGTTTTATTATTTTGAAACATTTTTGTTTATTATTTATTAATACATTATGACTATAAGAAAATAATCATAATAAGAAAATGAATCATGGGAAAATGACAAGTTATGGAAGGAGTTTTTCGATTTAAAATAGGTGGTGCCAGCAAAGTGCTGACCAGACCTTACCTTCATCAAGAAACATATGAACTCTACGTTATCGGTCCAATGGATAGCTAGGTCTGTAGTGAATGAGTATAGAGGAATGAATGGGCGTGAATGTTGTTTATACTTTGCACCCTGTCCCGTTTTTCTCTGCTCAATCCTCGTGTTGTGAGTTGGGACAACAGGTTTGTACCTGTTTTCTGTACGGGCAGCTGTGTGAGAACGTGTGTAATTGCCTAAATTTTAGTCCAGTTCTCCCATAATGCTACAGGTTAGTTCTGTACTATTAGATAGCCATTGGATTTTATTGTGTGTACTAGCGTATGTGTTTATATTTACAATAGCCTGCGTTGTGTGGATTGTGTATATAGAATAAACTATATTTGCAGTAATGAACATTTTGTTTCAGTAAGTCGTGTTTTTAACCGTTTTTTTGTTGTTTGTCGTATATGTTGCGCTACACAGTGGATCACCCGTAAAGGCGTGTCCGTGTGTTCAGTCTAATGAGCAGGGGCCCACAGCCGCCCATTATCATTTTTTTAAGTAAAAATTAATCTTTATTCTATAGACACCATCCCACACTCTTGTATATTCTTTTTCCTACAATTAAACACACACTGTTGTCAGCAAAATTCTTTTGAAAAAACATAAATTGCGCGAGAGGCCGCTAGATATTAAGATGGCTTTTTGAGACCATCCCAAATTTGGTACTGATGGATAAAAGCACATCAGTGCTTTGTTGTCCCTTTTAAGTTCCTTTTCAGACTTCCCCTCCGCTCTTAGCCTTACAAAAAGTGAATAGATAGCGCCTCAACAACAAAGCTGGCTCGAATCGGTGGTAGTGTTGACAAACTAGCGCTCCAACAACTAAAATCCAAGAAATAAAGTGCCGACATTGTTTACATTTAATAACCACTGTTCTAAAAAACAAGGCAAACGTCTCAAATAAATACACGAATGATATCGTGTTATATATATATATATATATATATATATATATATATATATATATATATATATATATATATATATATATTAGTTTCGTCACTGGCACCTTGATAGTGGTTTTGTAAATAAAAAACAGATAACAGATATAATACAGTAGTGATATTATATAGTAGCTTAGACATGCTGTTGCGTAAAAAATCTTTTTTAAAATATACACATGAGCTGTAGTGTGAAAGATAGGCAAACGTTCAAACCACTTCCATAAATTATTTCCCTTTTACAAATAGCCAAATAGGGGTGCTGATAAGCTCCTTTTAATAGATTTGTAATAATCAAATAAAACAGCAATTACTTAATCTTAATCATTATTTTTTTTTAAATAAGTACTAAAGAATGGTATAGTATAATAATGAAATGTAGTTAAAACTAATAATATAAATACAAAAAAACATAAAAATAAACATAACACGAGACACCATTCTTATACAAAGCTTCATGATTTATATACTTTTGACCGATTTAATTATTAGAAGTATTAAGACAAACATAAATGAAAACAGAGATTTTCAAAACAGACCAATGCACTCAAACGCATGGCATGTTGTTGTGATTAGATTTAATTGATTTTTTTTTAAAACCCGATCAGGCCAGAAAAGAGTATCTTATGTTCGTTTTGTGTGTTTATATATATATATATATATATATATATATATATATATATATATATATATATATATATATATATATATATATATATATATATATATATATATATATATATATATATATATATATATATACATATATGGGGGGGGGGGGCAAACAATTTTTTTGCGGGGGTGGCCCATTTTTTCTAGTTCCACCACTGCTAAAGAGGATTATTTTGCTTCATCTTATTTTGCTTTATATTTAAATGCGTTTTTACAAACGCAAAATATTCAAAATAATAACTGTTTCGCTATATTAATTTTACTAATTGTTTGTATTTTCTTCTATAATTTCACAATATAGTTGTACGATACGCTATACTTTGGCTAGAATTGTTTCGGCTTGTCTTTATGGAATCTGCTTCAGCTAAAAACTAAAAAAGCCGTGCCTAAGTTGAAGCAAAGTACCATTTCAGCGTGATCAACACAAGATCCTGGAATTTGAACTGCCTTCCCATAGGCAAAAGTTAGTGCTATTATAAAAAAGCACACCTCACTGTGTTGGTATCAGTCGTAGGAACAGGCCAATATTGATTACAATACATTTTTAAAAATGTGTATTATTTGTATCGTTAGTAAATTATACATTTTAAAAACTATAGACATTATTTATTTGATATGTTAAAATTTCAGAAAATATAAACAAGTTATTTACTATCACACTTAAGATAGCTGAATAATTATCACTAAAAATATAGAGGGAATTTTTAAAGCGTGTTAAATATTTTTTTTAATATATACCAGGTATTCATTGTCAAACTTAACATTCCAAAATAATAATCAGTAAAGAAAATTGTACTTAAAAAATTAATGTTAACAAATATGTTGAAGATAATGAGGTTTTAAAAAATCTATGTACTTCTCTTTAGTTTTTAAAAATTAGAATAATTTTTGTTGAGTGCGATGAGAGTAGGTAGTTACCTCATGTTTTAACATTTAAATTACATGATTGTATTTGATTTTTAAACACAAGTGCGAGGTTTTAATATAAAAAAAACCACTCTGTTAGTCCAGAATTTCTGTGTACAGGCCTTCGTCGTTGTCGTTGTCGTAAACAGCGTTTTGTTCTGGAAGAGAACGATGAATACCATTCATATAATAAAACAAGATAACAATACATATCCGTAGGTAGACATGATATAATACCGGTAGTATGACCATAAACTTGTAATCAGAGTTTCAGGTAGCCCCCCCCCACACCCAACGCCTCCACCCAACCAAAACTCCCCCCCCCCCCCCCCACACCCAACGCCTCCACCCAAACAAAACTCCCCCCCCCCCCCCACGCCTTCATCTCCATCTAGATAAATTTATTGTATATTTAAATAAAATGGACAGTTGAAAATTGATATTATTGTTGGTACGTAATAAAAATAGCCAACGGACGTATCGTTAAAGCTATAGCTTACAGAAAATTAGCTATATAATGCGTTATACTTTTGAATGGACAACAAAATCTTGTATGGAAGTCGCAATTATTGTTATAAAAGTTAAATAAACCCTGTTACGTCACTATAAACTCGTTATTCTGAAATTTTGTGATGATTAGTGACAGACGTGATATCATTTATGGATGACCTCCGAAACCCACAGTTATCTAATGATAACGGGTAAGTCTAGTATCTACTAAGTTTTACTATTACAATCACCTTGTTGAATTACAACATCTTCATACTCATAGACACTTTCAGTGAACTCCGCCAGATTGACATCCCCGGCCTTTGTCCCAATCATGTTGTGATCAACGGCGTTTGCATCTGGAATAGAACTTTACAATTATATTTGCCATACAAAGGATTAATTTCCCTAAAGCAACGCTAGAATTTTATCTACTTTAGCATTACTACGTAACCTGGCTAAATGTCCTTAGTTAAATATTCATTACACTTTATTTGTGATCCAACGACCAAATCTAAGACTCAGTATTTATATCAATATTCTTGCCCCAAATGACCTTGATCGATGGCCAAGACACACTAACCATTATCTATTGACCTTGGCCCAGCGACCGTGACCAATGGAAAGTGACTAAATATCTATAACTCACTGATCCAGTTATGATAAATTTATAGAAATGGTTTAATGACCATGATCAAAGTCCATGACAGAAAACCAAATCTAAATCTTAATTAATTCATTAGTGTTTCTTTTCTAAGATACATCTATCTATGAATATAATTCTCTTCTGGGAGACGCTAGAAAACAAGCTGTAAGCGCGCTCCATACCACCCCACCCCTAGATGGTCTGATGAGCTGTGGTTCACGCTAAATGTTCACATTCGTGGAGCTGGGTTTAGTGACGGCTATTAGGGGCATATAATTTAGTTTGAAATCATTTTAAACGTAGGGGGGAGGGGGTAACGAAGTGGAGTTTACTTTAACGTGGAGGTGTGTGATGGTGGTAGGAGGGGTTATCGAATTCACAAATTAGGAATTACTGAAAAGTACAAAAAAAAACCACAACTAAATAGCGGCGTATGAAATGCCGCGGGTCGGCTCGTATATATAATTCTCTTCTGGGAGCCGTTAGAAAACAAGCCGCAAGCGCCTCCTTGCAGTCCCCTCTCTTTCTCTCTATCACTATCACTACCACCCCCACCCCACCCCCACATTGTCTGGTGAGCTGTGGTCACGCTGTTTACAATTTACAATCATGGAGACGGGTTTGGTGACGGCTATTAGGGGCAGATAATTTAGTTTGAAACGATTTTAAACTTAGAGGAGGTAACTAAGAGGAGGCTGCTTTCACGTGGGGGGGGGGGGAGAGGGGGTTTAGTGTTTTTAAGCAAATATTTTCAGTGGCAGCATTGGTACTGTCGAATTCACAAATTATAAATTACTGAAAAGTAGAAAAAAAAACAACTAAATAGCGGCGTATGATACGCAGCGGGTCGGCTCGTTTTATATAATTTAGTAAGGATCTTTTGTCGTGTTCCGTATTCTATATAAGCCCTGAATTAAAATACAACATTTTTAAAAAGATTGAACATTTTACGTGTTTGGTTCTCTTTGTCATGGCAGTTTCCAGATTCTACTTGACTCCTAGTGGGTGATCGTGTTTTGCAACGCAACTTAAACACAAGCACAACTGCCAGCACTAAAATCGCTACCCCAACACAAATACCAATCCCAATGCCAATCCCTTCAGCTAGTCCAAGTGATTGTATATTTTCTGAAACACAAACACAACACTGAATTAATATGAATATAAACAATTGCAGGAATGAATGCAAGCAAAGATTTTCTATTAAACAAAATATTTATTTTCATTAGGCTTCTCTGAGATGTTGATATATAATACTAACGTAAAAACATGATTTGTGTAAACAGTTCAATCTAGCGCTGTAAAGCAAATCTGTAGGCGACCGTGTATTTCTCTACGACTTCGGTCTTTTTGTTTGATTCATCCGATGTAAATAATTATAAGAACCAAGAAGATGAAGAAATAGTACTTCAATTAAAATTTAAGTTACGTAAACTGTAGAAAAAATATATTCTTTTTTACCTAAGTATAATACTAAGTAAAAAAGTAAGTTAATAAATTATGTAGAACAGACATTATTTATAAAAGATCAAAACGACAACCACTGAAATCTATCCTGAATAAACTCAGCATAAATGTACATAACAGGACAAGTGTTATATATCTTGACATAATTAGCTACACATTTACATGAATACATGAATAGTATTTAATGATTGCATGTTTATCACTACGCCAAAAAAAAATAACGTTTCGGTTATTCATTGCCATTTTAAAAAATACGGATATCAGATCGTTTATTTGTCAACAAAACCACAGATGTTGTTGTGTCAATATCATATATATTGGTAGTCGCTGCAAATCAAGAAAAAGTGAAAACATTTGACAAGGATATGCATTTATTAAGTTTGTTGAATAAATGGAAGCGAGGAAATACCACCTTTCTTTTTAAAAATAAAGATTGTTAACTGATAATTAATTTGTATTCGATTTAATATGTTATATATATATATATATATATATATATATATATATATATATATATATATATATATATATAGCCTACATGTATATATATATAATATATATAGCGTTGTATCAGTCTGTTTGTGTGGTTGAGTGTATACGTGTGTTTTTCTTTGTTTCGTGTGGTTATTAACGGTGACGGCACTGCCTAGTTATGACAATATAATTTAACAAAACTAAATCTAACTTGGCCTACTACATCATATTTTGTTATTACAATTTCACATTTTTGAAAAACTCTCAAAACTTTATAATTTTCAATCAATCTCTCTTACAGCTCATTCCAATACAATTTCGTCATCAAGTGCTTACTCAACACACGTGCATTGTTTTGTTCCAAACTTCTATTCTATTACCCGATTCCACTGAAAATGCTAACCTGACCCATTTTTGTTATATGAGATTTTCGGGAGCTCACTATGACTTTTTATCACTTGCTTTTCTATAAAATTTTAATGTGTTGGCCATGAAAATTAATGTGTTGGTCTTGTAATTTTTGTTTACCCACCGACGTTTTAAAAGTAAATCTAAAAGTCTCTATCATTCATTACTGGAATTGAATCCAACATTAGATATATTTTTCTATAAGGCCAAAAGCACCAGAGATGATAGACATTTAAAATGTCAATGAATTTATTGTAAAACTGTATTTTGAAATGTGAGTTTATTTGAGTTTCTACATCTATTGTGAAAAAGTCTACCATTCCTTAGCATATTAAATACAAGTTTCTCTGTCTTTAACAAACTTTTTGTAATCTCGCTGAATTGGTTTGAACAAATTAACTAAATGTGTCCATAGAAATGTTAACAGTCTTAGACACAATGACCTCTAGTTCAAGCACGTCAAGTTTCTCACCCAATGAATTGCCGGAATCGTTGTTAAGCTTCGACTCATTTCTCTCTGTTGTAATGCTAGGTGTTGCCGTAGCTGTCGGATATGTTGTTAGATAAGTTTCAGGAGCTGCATTTGTCGCTGCAAATCAATACAAAGTAAAAACGTTTAACCGGCAATTCTATTACTCTAATTTACTTTTTCGTTACAAAGCATAGAGGAATTATTGTAACGAGCCTACCCGCGGCATATCATACGCCGCTATTTAGTTGTTGTTTTTTCTACTTTTCAGTAATTCATAATTTGTGAATTCGACATTACCAACGCTGCCTCTGAAAATATTTCTTTAAAACACTATACGTATCTCGTTAAGGACGATAACCCCCCCCCCCCCCACCCTCCTCCCCCCTCCGTTACAGTAAACTCCACTTAGTTACCCCCCCCCCCCCTACGTTTAAAATCGTTTCAAACTAAATTACACACCGAATTTTTAAAATATATCTAAAAATTTCTATCATTCATTACTGGAATAGAATCCAACATTAAATATATTTCCCATAAGGCCAAACGCACCAGAGATGATAGAAATTTTAAAATGTAAAAGAATTTATTGTAAAACTGTATTTGGAAAAGTGAGTTTATTTGAGTTTCTACATCTATTGTGAAATAGACTACCATTCCTTAATATATTAAATTCAAGTTTCTCTGTCTTTAACAAACTTTTTGTTATCTCGCTGAATTAAAAATAGAAATGTTAACAGTCTTAGACACAATTGCCTTTAGTTCACGCACGTCATGCTTCTCACCCAATGAATTACCGAAATCGTTGTTAAGCTTAGACCCATCTCTCTTTGTAGTAATGCTAGGTTTTGCCTTTGTTGTCGGATGTGTTGTTAGATAAGTTTCAGGAGCTGCATTTGTCGCTGCAAATCAATACAAAGTAAAAACGTTTAACCGGCAATGCATTTACGCCTATTTACATTTTCGTTACAAAGCATAGAGGAACTATTGTAATTGTGTGTGCATGTAAACAATTATTTGTTTGGCGATTAACATTGACAAATTAAAAATAAAATGTGTATGCTGTTTAAAATATATTGATTTAATTAATGAAAGAAATTTAAAATAAATTAACAACTGCTTACCACGAACTTCCATACAAATGAAAGAAAAAAGGTGTGCACAATCGGCATCATTTAGTGTTCCATCTTCCCAAATTGCAAGGCAGTCTTCATTTCCTTTCATGTTGTTAGGTTCACTATAACCCCACATTGATGTTAGATTAACCTTTGTACCATCTGTCCACACCCATTCACCTTCTTTTAATATGTCACTAGCTCCTAGCCACACTTATGGAAGAAATAGATGCACATATCACAAAACATTGATAATTTAAAAACTTGTTGCTACCGTTCTATTTAAATAAGTCATCATAAAATGGACCGGTTGATTGAACATTTGCGTGCTATGACAATTATGACACAATTTACTCATTTAATTAATATGTTTGTTAAAAAATAGCAAGAAACAAGGGATTAACTTCGAGAACAGACATATGCAGTGACTTTAGAATACTTGAATGTTATGCATAGATTTGATATACTGAGTACAAATTAAAGGCCAAGCTTACAAGTTAATTTTTTTAGCGATATTGTTTGTGAGCCAATGTGTCGTTGGTTTCCTAATTTCTGGAGCCAGTTGGTTGTAACACTTTTGTCGTGTTATGTTAGTCGTGTTACTTCTGTTCTTAGCTGTCTATGTTAGTTTAATAAATTTTTAAAAATATATGCATACCTCGTGTATAACTTGGTCTTAAAGAATTGAAGTATCTCAACACAGAGGGTGAGGAGACTTTGGCCAGCATCCTCTTTCCATTGAAATTAGAGCAGTATCTCTTCAAATACAAATTACAGATTCAATGTTTTAGTATTTATTTTATGCTCTAATATGTTTCGTAAGAAAGCTAACTAAGGATATCTGAAGTATTAAAAATTGACTATGTAATTTACATCTCATAGCGTGTTAACTGTAGCTACAATATACTATAAGCTAAAATTACTTTCGCTTCAGTCCAAATCTTTGGTGTTGTGAATAGCTCATAGCAATTGTTGTCAAACGCCGTAGCGGTTTTGCTTATACACTCTGTTAGAGATTTAGAATAAAATACATTTTAAAAGTACATGCTGCTGGAAATTTTGAATTAAACACAATAAAAAAAACACAGTATTTGAATCATTTCTCTCTGTAGTAAATCTAAGTGTTGCCGTGGTTGTTCTGGATGTTGGATACTTAGTTGTGTCAGTTTCAATATTTGTGTTTGTCTCTGCAATTCAGATGTAAGTTATAACGTTTGAAAAGCAATGCTTTGCTTGTTTTTGAAATACATTAAAGAGAGAACATACACTGGGTTTAAATTTGAACGCTATACATAAGGGCCTCTTAGTGTTTATGTGTAGAAATATGTTTTAGCCATAACGTTTAATCCTTGTAACCTTCTTCTAATCGTCTTGCTAAACATAAGATAAAAACTTAAAAGTACAATGTTATGTCACGTTTACAATAGACTACCATTCCTTAGTACAGGGGTTCCCAACCCTGTGCCCGCGGGCGCCATGACGCCCGCTGAACTATTCGTATGTGCCCGCCTCTCACTACTCGACAGAGACATAATTTTTTTCATAAACATTATTTTAAAATGATTTATTTTTATTCATTTGTTACAGTTTTAATTATTTTTTTTGACTGCCTAGGGTTATTAAATATGTTCGATACCCACTTTGTCTAGCGTCGAGCCAGACTGCACTATTTACGCTAGCCTGGAACGGCCAGTGCCATTTGCACATCAAACCTTATACACGCAGAAAACCCGAAGTGAACGAATGGAACGAACGTCTCGAACTGATCCGATAAACGCCGAAGATTTTCGCAGTTTAAACATATTGAGCCAATAGTTTCCTTCTGTATCAATCCTTTTACTTGCCAAATAAATGTTATGTAAATATAGCCGCATATATTGCAGATTTTGCTCAAGGTAAGACAGAAGAACTAGAGTTAGAAATTTTGGACCTTAAGAATGATATTTTGCTCAAACCCTTAATGTCAGAAGACTTTTGGAATACAGTGGATAGAGAAAAGTTCCCATTGTTGAAAAAAGCGGCATATAAAATTGAATCATTTATCGGTTCGACGTATTTATGCGAATCATTGTTTTCAAACATGAACTTAATTAACTTAATAAAATCAAGATATAGATCTCGACTCACCGATGAGCATCTTTGTGATTGTCTGCTAACAGGATTATCGTCATACGCTCCTAATTATGAAGCTCTGGCCAATGAAATGCAATGCCAAAGATCACATTGACTTTATTATATTTTTTAATTAAATGTTTCTTTGTATTTATGTGTTTTGTTTACTTTTTTACTTTTTTGTAAATACATTTCTCTGTGTGTATGCAATTTGAAAAAAATGCCAAATAATTTTATTATTTTGATATATTTTTGTTTATTATTTATTAATACATTATGACTATAAGAAAATAAAATAAATTATGGGAAAATGACACGTTATGGAAGGAGTTTGTCGATTTTAAATAGGTGGTGCCCGCCACCCTACCGATTTTTTAGAATGTGCTCTAGAGTAAAAAAAGGTTGGGAACCCCTGCCTTAGTATATTAAATACAAATTTCTCAAGCAAGCAATGTAATTCCCTTCATTCCATCACAAAGAACGAAATATATTTTTAATATTTTGAAATACTTAATGACAAAACACCACGGGTTTGTTTGAATTAAAAAAGCAATATATTTAAATGGCAGGATTAAAATTAAGCTGTTAAAAACTAAACGTAATGTGTGTCATTTTGTACAGAAAGGTGTGTGAGGTAAAAATACATTATTCTCAGAATTTAAATTCTATAACCATTTGTACCGCAAATTTGTTGTTTTTTTCTGTTTGTTTGTTTGTTTGTTTGGTTCTCCAATCAAATCTTGCGATCGAAATTTCGGGCACTTCCCAGTTAGCTAGCGCGCTGAAATTTTCAGGGAAGCTTTGTTTCCGATGACAATAGAATACTCAATTGTTATTATTACTAAATTGATCCATGGACACATTTTATTGATCATTTTACACCCCTATATATTTGTACAAAAAAACGTGGGAAAAAGGGACATAGCCCAATAATTGTAATTTGATGAAAACAAGGTTCGGTACTCTCCCTCTTTTGGCTTACTGAGTAGTGGTCACGCGGTGTTTGTGTACAAACCTATGCAAATTGGAAAAGGCACGTGTTTTTTACGAGTTGTCTTCGTTTACCCAAAAAAAATTGAATGCGAGAAGATAAAATCGATAGCAAGATTTGAATGCAAACAAACAGACAAAGACTAAAAAGTAGAAAATAATTATCATTTAAAAAGTTTTTAAAAACCCACGTTTTCTGATTGAACTAAAAAGTAGAAAATTAATACTATACATCACAATAATGCAAGCGATCACTCTACTATAAGCGATGAAAAACGTGGGGCGCCGTGATTTTCTTACAGTTTCTAATACTGTTGACTCTCTACAAGCTCCCTAATAAAAGTCAATAGTATTATCTAATCTTATATTAACAATGACCGATAAAAAACTTTTACTTCGGCGCCCCACGTTTTTGTGATGTTTAAATTTATATTATTAAGAAGTTATATACTTTTAACAGTGTCCGCACCGCCGAATAAAGTCTACCGCCCCCCCCCCCCCCCCGAAATGTTCAAGTGCCCCACGGAGAGAAATTCTGGAAGAAACGCTGATTGTCATCCAAGATCTCCCGCTGTGCCATATTTCAGATCAATTGGACATTGGGGAAGTGGGTCTAATTTATATTTCAAAATTTGGGGAGCCTCACACATACAAAGCACACGCTAAATAAAAGCCTTTAAAAAAGCATGTAAAACAAATTGAGAAAATCACTCACGCAATAGCTTCCGTTGGCCTATTTAATAAAATAACTTGAAATATCTAAGTGTAATCAGTGGAAAATTGTATTTTCTGATTTAGGGTTTTCCGCAAAAATAAAAATAAAAGTATTAATTGTAGCATAAAAAATTCATTAAAAAAAACGTTTTAATAACAAGCTTTTATGTAATAATACACTAATAAGTAAAAAATAAATTATACACTACTATTTAAATAACTATAAAGAAAAGCGTTGGTCTCTTCCTAAATATCAGTAAAGGTATCCAATAGATACTAAAGTGACCCACGCTTTTCCTTATAGTAATTTTAATAGTAATTTAAAATGAACCGTAACAGAGGAAGTGAGTGTAATAAAAGCTTGTAAAAAGACAGTCTCGCTCATCTGAATGGTCACCACAGTCATCATCACCGTCGCACCTCAAACTGACGGAAATACATATGGTGTTGTCGCATTAAAACTGAAACCCATCCACGTCACATGCCAATCCTAAATTGGAAGGTGTGTTTCCGCAAACAACTAAAAATAATTTATTATATAATCTTTAGGCTGCTAACCTTAAATTCTGGAATTTGAGCGTGTGTGTGTGTATGTGTGAGAACGCGATAATTTTAGTACCGTTACAGCCTGGTTGATTAAATTTCATATATAAGTATTATATCAAATTTTTAGTTCTGTATACATTTTTCAGCCATTTCCGATAAACGGAAGTGGGACTTATTTTACTTTTGGTTTTTTAAAAGCCTATATAACTTGAGTAGAATTTTACACAAAAGTAAAAAATCTAATTCTCTGTATTATTTTTTTTTAATTTAGAGTAATTTCCGTCTCCCGGAAGTAGTACTTTACGCTATTTCCGACATCTCAAAAAACGCATATGTATTAATAAAGTACTAATATTCCGCATTATTATACACACATTTTTTTGGTATTCACTTGGCGCACAATTCTTTTTTTTACGAGATTCTATCTATATATTACTAAAACTCAAGTTTGTTTACATGTTTGAATATTTATTTGTTTGTCCGATTGACTACTGTAGAAAATCTGCGCTGTTTGTAGAGCTGTAAAATAGTAATTAGGTAGAAAACAATGCCTTTACTTTGAATGAATAGTGACGTCACATGTTTTGTATACTTTTTAGTACAATAACATGGCGGCTTCCGTCATAGACTTTGTGGCCCATTCAAACGTTTAACGCGTTCTAAAGCTAATTTTCTTTCGGATATGACTTTAACAATACGTCCGTTTGCTGTTTTTATTACGTTCCAACACTATTATCAACTATTTAC